GTATATACATATAATTAAGAAATATCGTTCGTATGTATATATATACGAACGATATTTCTTAATATTAATCTCCATGACGTTTCTTATCGTTGCGCAGATGCGAAAGGTCTAACGGATCCGTCAAAGATCAAGAGTCTGCGCTATCAGATTCAAATAAACCTCGAAGACTATATAAATGATCACCAGTACGACAATCGGGGCCGCTTCGGCGAGATATTGCTGACGTTACCGGCCTTGCAATCGATCTCATGGCAAATGATCGAGCAGATCCAGTTTGTGCGGCTGTTCGGTGTGGCGCATATCGACAATTTGCTCCAGGAGATGTTGTTAGGCGGTGCCACACCAGAGATAAACGGCGCCGCGACGTCCATACCGATCTCAACTACCGCGCCAGGTAGTTATGTCAGCAGCAACGAGAGCCCGAGTAGCCCACTGACACCGGCCAACGCCGACAATCTCAGTCCGACAACCGATCAAATGTTGGTCTCCGCAAACTCACCCGTCATGATCCTTAGCGATCTGACGCCGATTGCCACGCAGGAGGACAATACCTTCAGGTTCTTCAAGCAGGAGCCGAGTATTGAAGCGGAGCCGACCTTCTGACTAGACCGGGAATCCAGCGCATCGCTAACCAGCGGCCGAGTTCATCTATTGCACAACGTAGTCGCATTGATGTAGCTGGACTATAATTTCAAAAGTGTAATCTGACGTTCGTTATGGCTCCATCGTCTAAAGTGCCATACATATCGCGTCTTGTTGTTATCATAGTTGCCGAATGTTCTCACATGGTATTGTAATCAAAAAAGAACAAAGCGTCTTAGATTAATACGCGAATGAAGAATGACAGTTTTAGAGATTTCTAATTACCTCAATTGAATACAATTTTGCAATTTTTGATACATACATATATTCAAATTTTCAACTCAAAGCAATCGATCACAATATTGATGTGAATGATACTTTTTAAGCAAAAGTATTTTGTTGTCAAGTAGATGTTGTGTATCTGATTATCAAATTTGTAAAGAAGCATATTTTGAAATTTTTATATATATATGTATAAAACTTATCACATGTCTTATATCAGTAAATCAAAGCAATCTTGTTTTTAAGTATTTTTGATATCATCGCATTTATATTGAGATAAATAAGTAAGAAAATATACAGAGAGTTTGGAACTTTTAGAGATGAGATTTTGCACAATTGAGAATTATATACTGGACGAGAAGAGAATAAAGAGAAATATGAGAAAAAATGTTTAATAATATCGCCGGGTCAAGATGCGAAGAATTTTTCGTTTATTTTTTTAATTTTTTTTACACGACTGCAAGTAGATAAATTGTGGTTTTCTCGTTCAATGAGAAGCCGGACGTTCTCTTCAAAATTGCTCAAATAAAGTTTTCTATTACGTATGTGTGCGTATCTTAGTCATAGGACCAAATCAAATGTGTGATTTTATATATGATGAGAAATCAATATAATTATCACAAGATGTAGAACTTGGAAGAGAAAGAAGGCGATGTAAAAAATATTCGCGCGTGCGAGAAAGGTACTTGAAGGAAAAAAAATAAACGAGAAAGAGAGAGAGGAAGTATCCGATCTGTACAAGCGCAAGTTAACGGCGTAGCACGCTATAGTCAACGTTTCCAGTTGCGTATTGCAGTCAATTAAAGCCTGCACCTGTACAAATAACGATCAATCGCTGACCAAGATTAAATGTGATAAGCGATAAAATCGTATCTTGCCAATGCTACCGCTACTATTACTACTATTACTCCTACTACTATTAATTATTGTCGCGACAGCATCCGGACCACTTCCGAATCAAAATCTGGATTAGAAACGAAACTTGACAAGAACGAACCGCGCGAATAACGACAATAATTGAATGATTAATAGAAGCGCGAGAAAGAACTAAAGGTAATATTTTTTTTTCTTTTTTTTGATAAATTAAAATCCTGTAGATACGCAACAACAAGTTCTAAGGCAATATTTTTGTTACGCGTCTGTTTGTACATGTGTAAAATATGTACGGAGAGATCGGATTTTACAATCCAAATTCAACTAAATACCAGTGTTTTAACGTTTGATATATTGAAGATAAGAAAAAAAAACATGTTCGATTATCTTCTCATCTTTTGTCAAGGACGTTTTGTCGTTCACGAGTATGTCGCGTTGAACAGAGGTAATCTCGCATTTGTCGAGCATCGAGAGATAACGAGAATATTTTTTTTTTACTGTTTTGCTCATTCTCTACGAATAAATGTTATTATAGGATTGTTATTATAGGATTGTGTAAATAGCGTGATGTATACCATACGATAATATGTGTAACATTCCAAATATATATACAGTACCAATGTTGCATATATTTACATACACATACATATATATATATATATACAGTTATAGGTATAGTCTTTTAAAAATAGCTGCACGTGGAAAACATGGTTGCTCTAAACCGCCGAGCGCAATGTTTCCCGCGAAAAATAAAAAGTGCGCCATTGCAATGCAATTTCTTGTTAGTAACGTAACGATAAGAAATGCGCACTGGTCATTTCGCGTATGCGGATATTGACGAGTTCAATAAGCCGGTAAATCGGCTATGGCTAATCAAACTGGCTAGTGCGCACTATTATCGTAATTTTTTAAGTTTTAACAAAGTGTGCGTATAAAAATAAATGTCTGTTAATAATAACAAAACACGGCCGGATGAAAAGCAATAGTATCATAATCAGGTGAAAAACAGTAATGATGTAATGATTGCGTGTCTAAAATCAGAAAGTACTTGGGAAATTATTTATTACACAACTATAAATCGGAGACGAAACAGCAAACAACTGTGTTTCCACCCGGAAAACAAGGACGTCTGATAAGATTAAGACTTGGCTCAAACAAAATTATGTAATACGCACATGCGCCTTAGATAATAATAAAAAGGCTTGTAAATTTATGTCAGCCACAAGAACGTTACATATGTGATATAATTGTAAAATTTCGAAGTTGTTTCTCTCCTCCGTTTTAAATTGCGATTACAATTTTTTTTCTTTATCAATGCAATCATTCTGTCAAGCGTCATAACGCAGTTTTTTTTAGATATTTCACGATACGTATTTAGTTACATATCAGCCACATTAATTGTTACATTTGTAAAATTTCATTTCGTAACATATAAATACTATTTAAATACTACTATTTAAAAAGACATCTTAATGTAAGTTGTACATTTTGCTTGTAATAAAGTCCGGCGAATATATTTTCTATTTTTGTATCGAGAAAAAGAATTTAAAAACCGTTAATGCGTTTTGTTTTTTTTTTTTTTTTTTTTTTTTTTTATAGAGTCATATCAAATAGGTGCAACAGAAGAAATATATAAATTACTGTTGTTGATAATTAAATGTTATTTTCCTGGAACTACTTATTAATATTTTATTACGTGTTTATTTCTTTAAGATCTTAACAAATTTTAGTCACGGGTTGTGAAATAGATATTACTATATTTTTGTTGTACGATACTTGCGAATGTGTTGACAGTAGTGACTGATTTCATACAAAAAATGTGTGTAAATAAAAATTTTGATTTGTTATTTAACAGTAAGTAGAAACTCACACACACAAGAAAGATATTTGTATCTTAATAATAAAGGGACATATATATTTCAATGTACGAAAAGATATATTTCCTGCAAACATTTATTATTACATAAATTAATTGAATAGTAATTTCAGTCGTATATATACGTGGTCCCGTTTATATCTCAGTTATTTGTATAAAAAATATTAACTTTGTACATATAAAACTCACACAAATATTGAATATCACATATTCTACTTTACAACCTTTTTTTTTTTTTTCAATCAAGATCACAATCGGTTCGCTTACGTTTCTTAAGATTTGCAGCACTCTGCGAGGTTTCGATAACGCTAGAACCTTTTTTCAACCATTCACTCAACTGTTCTTCTGCTTTTCTACCTGGAAGGAATAGATCTCTTTCCAATCTAGGCAGTAAACTGTTGAGCATAGGATTGGAATTTTGTGTCCAGTCCATTATAAGTCTAAATCGCGATCTGAAGGTCTGTGCAAATTTTTAGTACACATAATATAAAGTATAATAACTGTATAAAAATATTAATTAATCTTTATACAACATGTGTGACATAACTCACCAATAACAAACTGTCAATTATCATTTCACTATCACGATTATTGAACTTTCTCAAGTACATTCCTAATTCGTAATAATAAAGATTCCACTTGCTCAATTCAACTGCGCAAGCGTCTGCTAATAAAATTTCTCTATAAAGAACCATATCGATAAGTTACTTTCAAATTCTTCATTAGCGTTACTTTTCCCATTCTTTTTATGTACATATATGATTTTTTATGTACCTATATCTCTCCTTGTATGTTTTGGGAATGTCTATACTGATAGAGGTGTGTCTTCCAAAATTCAATGCTTGCGCCAGCCACAGAGGAAGCTCCAGCTTTGTGCCTGATTTTAAATCTTTGGAGTCAGAAGAAAGATCCAAAAACCCTGCACACACACACAGTAACGTATATATTAATATACTCAATATGTACAAAAGATAACAACAATCTGTTTTCTATGCGTAAAGCAAATCTTTTCCCATTTTATTTATTGCTAAAATAATAATTAGAATTACGAAGTAAGAACATTTGTATAATTTACACCTGTGTAATTCACAAGTAGAACAAATTGCACGGAAAAAATTTTACCTAAGCGTGGCAACGTAACCTCCAATTCGCACGACAATCGTTCTTCCGTACACAAAATGTCCGTTATAGAAAAATAATCAGGAAGATAACTGCAGGATAACGTCGTCATCGTCAGAGAGAAGACTCAGAGAGAGAAAGGGGCTAGGGCTGGGGCCATAAGACAATGTGTAACAATAGCTTTTTCGTTTTCCTGCAAGCCAGCGCAACGTCCAAGGATAGCGCACACTGGCAACTACGGTCTTCTCTCTGTCATCGTTTTTAGAAAATTGATTTCGATCGACTGTCAAAATTATTATATAATTGCGAACACACAACACAATGTTTATATTGACTTCGACGTAGCTGAGTATTTTGACGTTTCAACCGTTTTTCAAGGGATCTTCACATCCAATGGTAAAGTTTTGTAGTCAAAAATTTGTCCATTCTCAAATCTCTAATTACGTTATCTGTTACCCTAAATTACATGTCACAAGTGTTCACGCGACCATCACTTCGTCTCTCTTCTGTTATTTTTTGCAGAGCATGCAAGCAAGAGTTGCAGCAGCAGAGTGATTTAATCCCGCGCGCGATATCACACACACACACACACGCACGCACTCACGTTATTTTAGCAAAGATTCAAACCACCGGATAGAAAAGATCAGAACCACACACAATAAAAGATACATATATATGCACGAGAAGAGAACAACAGAGAGAAAGAGAGAGGAGTTGGAAACTGAGTCGGAAGGAGTGCGCGAATCGCCGCTGTTGTTTTTTCTCGACGAGTTTGTATTATTAATTTGCATTATTCCAAGTGTTCTTAAAATAAAGCGGAAAAATGAGAAAGCCTTTATTTAAATGACGCATTAAATCGTTGCGACGTTCAAGGTGACAGAAGGAATTTAAAAGCTCCGCAAACTCGAAAGGTACACACGTCGCTTTGCGAGCCCTGCACACACTCGTGTATTTCTAACCTGTGCGCAAAGACGTTTTAGTTTCCGAAAATTGCGAAAAAAAATCCGTAACACATTTTTGACATTTTTGTAATTCGATTTGACGAAGCGCGTCCGAGAGCGCGTTGCAATTTTTCTCGAAATTACATTGTTTTTGCGATTTACAAGCTATTCTCTCGGTGTTTTTCTCCGCCAAACTTTACGACACGTTCCTTGCAAGTTGTTTCTGCTCCGCGCTCTTTCTTTCGTGCAAACGTAGTTATTTACGATCTTTGTTTTTAAACTGTGCTAAAAATTTTTTTACAAAAATTGATTTCATTTTTTGTTTTCTGTTTTCAGTGATCGGACAGGTTTTAGAGGGATTAATATGATTACCTTAAGAGGAAAGCTGAAAAAAGAAAACGACATAGCGAATTCAAAGAACAGAGACTACAATAAGCGAGCCTCAATACGTGATAAATTACTTGTCAAAGAAGTATTTGATATTGCAACGTTTCTTCAACAATTTAAACAATTTTTGACATTTGTAAAATTTTGTTTTGTGTTACTTTTGCTCTCAGGTGCAAGAAATGGAACAGACGCTTCCAGCTACTTGTCAAGTTACATTTAAAGATCCGCATCGACTATATGAATTTATGCTACTTATTGTGCCAGATGAAGGATATTGGATCGGGGGTCATTTCTATTTTCAGATTTATATAAGTGAAGAGTATAACATGGCTGTAATTTTGACATTTTAATTTTTTTGTTAAAGAATTAAGAGAAAAATTTGATATTTTAGATATTTACACATTTGATATGTGATTTTCAGCCACCAATAGTCAAATGTTTAACAAAGTTGTGGCATCCTAACATAAATGAAGATGGTGATGTGTGCCTTTCTATTCTAAGGCAAAGTAGTATCGACGGAATGGGATGGGCGCCAACACGAAAACTGAAAGATGTTGTCTGGGGTTTAAATTCTCTCTTTACCGTATGTATATGAATTATATTTTTATTTTACGATTAATTGATCGATTTTATTCTCTTCCTTTCTTTCAGGATCTTCTTAATTTTGATGATCCTTTGAATAGAGATGCCGCAGAATTATTTATCACTGACAAAGAGTCCTTTCGTATAAAAGTTAAAGATTATGTAATGCAATATGCAAAGAGATGATTTACACTGTAACTTCTTAAGAAATTAATAATTTTTCATAATTTTTATTGAATCAATTTTGCGCTCCGCTTTAGTAAATGAATCAAGTCTGCGGCACACAGTTGCTTTTTGTGTCCCGTGCTGGATTAAATGCGGATGATGATCTCGACTCGATTGAATCACACAACTTTCTGAGAAATTTAAGAGCTAAAACTGCTGTTTGCTCGCACGCGATCTAGCGTGAAAAAAAATAAAAACAAAGCATCGTGTGTCGCAGACTTTAAATGACTTGCTCAAATTTGCTTTAGGTCGACTGATAATAAAACTCAATTCACAAAACAACTTTTGTATTTGCTAGTCTGTTTGCGTGAGAGAGAAACTTTAACTTTCAGTTATTCGTAATTTCTCTTCATATTGTTAACATATATTTAAATTATTAAAAAAAAAACTTGTATTTATCACGCATTAAGTACTCTATATTAATTAATTAATCTATGCTAATATATATACGAATAAAATTGTAAATGTACGCATGAAGAGGATTGAAACTGCATCACGTGTTGTACAATAATATTCTTCTCTCTCTTTATGAGACCATGTAACGCTCTGAGAGAGCATCTGTAAATAAAATGGATGTTTAATAATATACTCAAGGTTGTTCATTTCGTGTATATTTCTTTGAATATTTCGTGTGGGAGAGATGGGTGGTTAAATTTATTTAAAAAAATCGCACGCAATTATTGTTTTTCAAATATTTATTTATAATATCCGTACAACGCGACTTTTTTTGCTGAATTTCAAAAAAAAAAAAAAAAACTTGAAATGTGCATTTTGATTTATTGATACGTACGTACAGGCTAACAATTTCTTTTTTTACGCGTCATTTTATTCATCAAAATTAACGGACGGCTGAAATTTATATCATGTATCGTGTTATTTGACCACCGACGAGATATCGCAGCGAAATATCGACAGTCGGGCGACAACAAGTTTATTAATTACAAGTTGTAACAAATAAATAATAACAAAAGAGAAAACAAGGAGAAAAGCGAAGTTCCTTTTTTGTGTTTCTCGTTTCTCATTGTTCCTTCTCGCTCTTCTTCGTGCATAGAATAGGCACATGCGTGAGATGGTATGCGTACGCACAGTCGTGTGTGTATGTGTATACACGCCTGTGTAATTTGTTTACGTAATGCATGTGTGTACATAATGTGTAGACATAAATAAAAAAAAAAAAAACAAATCGCAGATCGATCGTTAGAACGTAGTCCGCAACTCTTCTTGTATACTAGTCGACCTGATGAGCTTCTGTTTCGAGCCTAACAAGCTTTCGCTCGCCAAACTATCGCTGTCGGAAGCTAGCTTTGATTTTTCTTCGTGATACTTCTCGTTGTATTCCTTCAGTCTGTTGCCCAGGAACACAGCTCTCTCGCGTTTCTTAATCATATACTCGGTCGGTAGTAGCCATCTGTGTTCGTGGCATTCCTCCGCCAGTGGTCTTTTACTGTAATAACAAATGTTATATAACATTGCGAAAATATACATATATATATTATTTAATAGATATTATTATTATTATTATTATTATTATTATTATTATTTAATATATTTAATAGATATTATTATTAAATAATAATAATATCTATTAAATAATATATATATACCCAGCAAACAATTTCTGTTTTTGACAATTTCGGCTCAGACCTTGGCAACAGAAATTGTTTGCAGAAATGCTACAATACGGAAACACTGCCAAAACTGTTAGCACACAAAAAGAAAAAACGCAACAACTTTGTTGGCAATA